CACTATGCGATTCTTGGGATCTCGAAGACCGCCTCCGCCGCTGATGTCAAGAAGGCTTACCGCCTTCTCGCTAGAAAGGTTGTTTCCTCGTTTTATTACGAGTTTTTGCATTTCTTTAACAATTGAAGTGTGCGTCAAATGTCGATTAGGGCTTTGTAAAGATGCACTTGTTATTTTACTTCGCCCAACAATTGGCGAATTCGCACTAATTTGGAGAATGAGTTTGGAACGATTTTGTACTCAAAAGTGGCGTGCAATATGAGATATATAATGCATTCTTTTGGTCTGTTTTTTTAAGACGAAATTTCATTAATGATGGACTATTTAGAGTTTTGCATAAAATTGCCATAAACTATATAAAAATCAAGGCTTTTATATCTGTTGAAAAAATACACCACATACGTACTGATGGTATTGGCAATGTTATTGAAAAGTCATTCGCATTTCATGTGTCAACTTACATGAACATTTTCCATTCGTCGTAGTTTAGTGAAAAATCCAAAAGTATATGTTTGCACAAGTAAAACACGTATATTTGGAAGATGCTCATAGGTAGTTGTATCCTTCTGACCGGTGGCGGCCTTGGCCCCACCTTGAAACATAAAAAGAAAGACAACTATGGGTTATTTGCTAGTAGTCATTTTATAGGTAGGGAGTAAGCCGCATAAGATATCTTATGCAGTTGGACGACCATTTTGATATTCTGATAATCGTAATATGGAGTTGTTTTTTTGTGTGGTATGTCTCAAACTAAAAAATTCATTCTCTTCGTTTAATAAGTGAAAATTGATTCAATTGATGGCCATGTTTTATCCTAAAGTTTTCGGTGAAAGAGCTCGAATGGAGCTTAAGAATTAACTTGAGAACTACATTTTTAATGTAGCTATTGATCATGATTTTTTTTTTCTAAAATTGAAGGGTTTAGTTGACCTGCTAAGAAGTTGGTTAAATGGAAAATAGATATTTTATATCTCTGGTGTACAAGTTGGTGAAGTTAGCACTAATTTTACCCATTGCAACAACAATTGATGAAAGAGTATTTTTGGCAATGAAAATGATTAAAAATGACATCTGAAATCGAATGGGTGACGAGTTGGTGCCTTAAATTGAAAAAAGATATTTTGTAACGTTAGTGAGGAAGATGTCTTCAAATGGTTTCAAGGAATGAATGCAAGAAAAAATGTTATTGTCAACATTATATTCTAATTTGAAATATTATTTTGAAAGTCTCATTGTTTAATGATATAGATTTCAATCTATTATGAAAAAAGATAAAAAATAAAAAATAAAGACAAATATAATAAATGTTAATCTGCGTATTTAATTATTATATGGACCCACCCCCCCAGTCTCCCACCCCCAAATTCCTAGTTCTGACATTGTGCTTTGTGACTAGATATTGGACACTTCTCGTGTCCAACATGCTGTCAACATGCGGAGTACGATACTGATGTTTGTGTTTACAAATCTTATATCACTCACAAGTGCTTCTTCCAAACTTATAACTTCTTTATATGTTCCCGTAAGTTTCTTTTCAAACTCTAGTTGAACACATACCTTTCTCTTAATTTTTCAATGTCATCCCACTTGAATCTCTACTATAACAATTAAGTTTTCTATTTCAGTCTATTGAGTTTCTGATATGTTCCACCTCATTCTTTTTGGCATTGCGATCTGTTCCATATTTCCTAGTGCTTGGTCTTATATCTTGATCGATGTTTCCACTACAAATTTTATGATTCTACTTAGAATGCTAGATTTTTAGCACCTCTTCATTCTTATCAGTTATCATAAGTAGAAAGTCATCCCCCACAAATTAATATTTGATGCAATTCTCAAATATTTGTTGGATTGACCTGTATGATTCCCACAACTATTTTTCTGTTTAACTATTGTTATCTCCCTCTTGTTGTGTGCTATGTGTTTGGTTTTTTTATTTTGGGTGGGTGGTGGAGGGTGGGCTGGGTGGGGGGCGGGGCGCGCGGCGAGGCGTGTGAACATGACTGAAACTTCCATGTTAATGCCTCTCTTTACATTCTTAACTTGCAATGAAGCTAAACTTTCCGCCTCCGTCTTGAATGCAACCATTGTGTGAGTTGATGATGAAGGAAACTATCTTTTGTAGTGGAGGCAAAGAGGGAAATAAACAGGGTACAATTGTCCTCATTAGAGAAAATGATGGAACATAATAGAGGAGATGGATATTAACCATTGGAGATGAGAATAATGTTCAGTTAATTGAATTGAATATGAAGTTCGACACATCTTGGGTTATAATTCGATAGGAAGGTAAGTAGCTGATCCAATTTGTCTAATTAGAGCTCTAACTATCTTCCTCCATTTAACAAAATATAAGTCTTTGCTATCAATCTCACATTGAAATACCCAAATCAGTTTTGCATGTTGTATTCAAGTTGTTCCATGATCTTAACCATATTATAAATCAAAATGAGTTTCTATTGTGATTCTAAATTGGGAATCCATGCACTTTTTTCTTGAGTTGGTAGTTTAGTACACAATAAAGTTGGGAATTTTGTTTAAGTTTAATTTACTAAAATTGGGGTACTCATCCAGAAAGGAATTTATCTCTTCTATGTGTTGAAATTTAGGGCCTCAATTGATTATTATTAAAAATGTGAACTTTATGATGATATTGAATTCCTCAGGGTAACGTTTTACGCAGTAAAATTTTGATACAGTCGTGCATTGCAAAATATAAAATTAATTTTTACATGGATTACATGAAATTTCAATAACTAAGAATTAAAGTTTATTATTTTTGGGGATATGCACAAGATGAGCTTCACTTGCTCTATACTATATCTATCACTCCCCCAAGGTCTTCTCCTAACTAAAATTTAGTGATCCTTATGAGACTAAAACAGAGAGATTTCAGTTTTAACTAAAATTTAGAGTTTCTTATGTGGTTAAAGCCGAGATGTTTCGGTGTCAAATGTCAATACTTAATATATTAATAAGTTTGTAAATTTTCTTACTGTCCAATATACTCTTGTTAGTAAAAGATAAGGAAACATGCTCTTTTATATTTGCCTTGTAGTGTTGTTACTTGTCAAGTTTATGACATATATTTGATTATCATTATGACCTTTTACAGTACCATCCTGATGTGAGCCGAGATTCACGAGCTGGTGAGGTCTTTAAGAGCATTCGGTTGGCATATGAGGTGATTGACCACATTACCATCTGACTTGTTATTATCTTTCAATATTAAAGTAAGGTGTCAATTTTTGTGCTGTGAAAACCCTTTACTTCAATCTAAAGTCCAGATGTAGTGCAACGTTTTTTGTCATGAGGCATAGCACATAGTGTTATAAAACTTTTACGTCTTGAAGGTGTATGCACAATGTGCATATTCTCTTAGGACTTTCATTCTGTAAACAACCTGTACTGACCCTATTGTCGATGCTGATGGAATTTATGATCATTTATCCAGGTATTAAAAAAAACTTCAATAATCTAACAATTTTTTTTGGAGAAAAAATATCTTAAAATTTTTAATCTTCTAATATGCCTAAAATATACCCATTTATATATAATCAAATCCAGTTGATTTCTAAATGAGAAGCTTACTTCCTAAGTTTGTTGGTGCAATTTCAACTCCATGGGTATTTTAAGTCCTAAATTCTTTCATCAGTTTCATGCTAGAATATGATGATAAAATTAAATTAAAGAAACATGAGTCACAACTAATCCCCAATATTACTTGAGCACCCAAATATCTGTTTAAGTCAAGTTTCCGATCTCTTACAACTCAAATATTTCTTGCATCCGCATCTCCGGTACTCTGAGAAGTGGTAATATAATGGGATGTGCCACGCAGCTCAGCGACTAGATGAATATTATAACAAATAGTTCACATTAAGAAAACTGTATAAAGAAATGATGAAACAATTCTTTTAGATTGACCTGCTACATTATTGTACATTACAAGTAAATTAGTTCACTAAGATAGATTTACTATATAAGTGTACATTTACAAGTAAATTAGTTCGCTAGGACATGAAATTCATGCACATGGAGGGTGGGCAAGCCATATCTCAATCTGGTCAATGCTTCAGTCTCGGGTGACTTTGCTATTCTATTATTATTAAACCTGTGACGGGGTGATGCCCATAAATGAAAACCATATAGCACAAACATAAACATCATGCATGGATTACATTGATCCCATGTATGACATGCATATTCTCCAGCATATGCAGATAATAATGATACAAAAAGTATATAACTTTGGAGAATAATATACATACTATAATATCTTTTATATGACAAGTGTTTAGACAAATCGTACTGTTACCTTCAATGTTTTTATGCATCTCCTCCTACATTATATACGGAATTTACGACTCATTGAAAGTATAAAATGGCATCCTATTCATAATCACGGAATGCTTACAGCATTACGATTATGCTACAGACATAATAATATATCATATGAATCCACTCATTTCAAAGGCAAAGTAGCATGACCACATCATATACATATTTCAAGATAATAGGTACATTTTGATATTTGCAAGAAATAAATAACTAGACGTATGAAAAATCTCAAAGTGAATTTCCACATATTTGAAGCTTTATATATCTTTGATCAGATTGAAACAGATATTCTTTTTAATATTCCCCCCAAGACAGGTGCTTTCCAATGAGGTTGCAAGGGCAAGATACGACATGTTATGCAATTTCCCGGAAACCAGAAGCCCTTCATGGAGGAGGAGATATGCCCATAGCCCTGAATCTTATGATACATTCTACAAATGGGCCAAATTAAGGCAGCATATGCAGTACGAGAGGCATAAAAAAGAGCAGGCAACATCACGGCAGTATCATACAAACCCACATCAAGAAACTTCAGGTTATGAGCGAGGCTCCTTCAGTGAAGTTCTTCGCTTCGCCTTTGTCACTCTCTTCTTTATGCAAATTGTTGGGCACCGCGCATCCCTTGCACTATGTGGAGCCATTGCTTTGCTTGATCAGCAGTTGGATGTTGGATATAAGATGGGATATGTGATTGCTATGCTTTTTGGAGGGAGAGGGGGTATTTTGCTTGCACTTTGCATATATTTTGCGAGTTGGCTCTGTGGGAAGAAGAGCAGCAGCATTGTGGCTTTAGTGGTGCTGGCAATGTGGGTTGGAGCTAATATTGCGAGGTTTGCTCCCCTTCCTCAAGGTGCGGTTCTTACATTGTTATACATGTCTATAAAGTTTCATGCTGATTCAAAATAAGGCAATATTGAGAAAGTAACGTTCTATGTAATTGTTCATGCTGTATATATTCGATATATTTTGTACGTAGTTCTATTCATGCAATGATTAAATGGAGAATGCCATATAATATTTGCTTAAATGTGCGTTGAAGCTTTAGAATGTCGATAAGACAGTGATATAGATGCACAGTTTGTGCAATTAGATGCTTAAAAGAAAAACCCATCATTTCAAAACAAAGTGGTACTTATCAGGAAACAGCAGGGGACCAGTGACCACTAGATGTAGAAGTTAGAAAAAAATGTTACTATTACAAATCTTTAATTGCGGGTTGGCCCCTGTGATATTGTTGTTTTGAACATACTACAGCAGGAGTTTTATTTTTGCAGGTAGACCCCTAGGTGAAATCTTCTTTAACCTTTTATCCTCAAGCGTCTGTTTGTGTAATTTGAAAGAAAAAAAACGTCACTTTCTCTAATGGTAAGTCAAAAGAATCAGTCAGAAGTCTATCTGCAAAAGCAGAACTAGAGAGGGTATTAAGTTCAAAACAATGGTACCTCACGGGGTCTATCTACAATTAACCTTATTATCATCAATGGAGGTAAGGGGGACAAGCATGTTTGCTATATCCACTCCTAAACAGTAACTTTGGGAGTTGGATTGCCGAAAATGCCCTTTTGGACTTGGCCTGGTTTGGTTTGGGAAAAAGGGCAATTTAGTCCTCACACACCCCCAAAGTTACTGTTTGGGAGTGTGAATAGTTGGACCCGGGGACAAGAGGTAGGAACTAGGAGAGAACTTGGTTGGAAACGATCTAAAAGGATACGATAATTGTTTGACTTAACGGAGGACGATGACCCTTAATAGAACCGAATGAAAGAAAGATATTCACGTACCCAACCCCAAGAACCATAGATGAATACTTCGTTGTTGTGCTTCATTAATTAGGAAACAAATTAAGGGGGAATGCTGGCATGAGGTAGGAGCTCTTTTTGTACTTTGTAGCGTTTTGATAATTTACCAAACTATGCTCTTATTTACGACCCAAGTTGGTGTCAGGATATGCTAAATTGCACTACCCCAAGGGGAAGGAAACCGTCAGCATATTTTTCTCCGGGTAATTTTTATGCTCGGACTGGTCCGGTCTGAGTCTAGTTAGGCCGATCGAGATTAACTTCCAACCCGACCCGACGTACCCAATTTGCCTCCCCTATTTATTGCCATCACCATGAATAAGTGAAGCTCCTCCTCCAACATACCACATGTTGTCGGTAATGAATTATCTTCAAGCTCTATCTCTTATGTCTAAACATGTAGAATCAATTATCTTCAAACTGCAAACTCGGTCTGAACATGTTTCATATTGTTGGTGGACATGTATTTCTTGTGTTGAAACACGCCAGCAGATGGAGACAGAGTTCAATAATTCAAGTAATAGAGAGAGCACACCAAACTCTATATTTGTTTTGATTTTGGGAGATGGGCAAAGCCTCAAAAGTAGGACTCGGCCAACACCGTACTATTTAGTTGCTAGTGAACGCTACATCCTCCAATTTCTTACGGGCTTCCACTTTTATACACCTTATTTATTATAACCTTTTAACTTATGCTGATTTCTATGGAGAGGTTTGGTGTGAAAGGAACTACTTCACAAAAGGAGTAGAATCTAGCATTTTATCATATACTAACATGTTATATACTAGATAAAGAGTGATTCAACTCCTTGAGCTCTGGTCTTGGAAAGAAGAGCATGGCAATTGTTCTTTTTTTTTTTTTTGCTTTTTTTTTTTTACGTTTCGTCATTGATCACTCAATTCTTCTTTCTTTCTTGCCTCACCATCTAATGCTTTCATGTAAGGTTTATCATAATACTCTACCAATCACCATCTCATCAATCTTTCTTCTTCTTTTCTTCTTCTTCTTCTTCTTTTATATACGTCTTCTCTACCTGGATTTTTTTAAAGTTCTCTTTAGTCTTACGTGCAGTACATCGCTTTTGCTTTCTCCCTTTTTTTTAATAAAAAAGAATGAAAAAGTAGATGCACCTATGGAGTGTTTCTTTCTAGAATAAAAACACTCTTTACTTTGTTATATATGAGTATGGTGAAAGAGATTCATTGTACACGTGATGTTTCAAAGTGATGATCTATATAAATCAAAGGTCATGTTTTGCAACTACTCAAAATGTAATTAGGATTGATCCTTAATTGTTCTCATTTTTGGGAAATGAGTAGGAAAAATTAAGACAGTACTAGTCTAGTTTTTTCTTAGACCAAAAAGTGACATTTAAACTGGTTTTGTTTGGACTAACTCTCTCTCAAGAGTTGATCTTGATCTGATATACAAGACACTAGGTTAGACTTAATCCCGACCCAGTTTTACAAGAGTTGCCCAGCACTGAGTTCGGAGAAAAATGCATTGATCCAAGAGTTGAGAACCTAATTGATTTTCCTTTTCTCCTCAAAAATATCCAATATCTTATAGATAGATTTGCATGTGCATTGACACGTGACAGGACCTCAAGTAAGGTACAACATTGGTGGTGATTTAAGTAAAGGTTTAATTACATTTTCCATGGTGTACTTCTACCTCCAAAAGTGTAGTGCTACCACCACCAGGATCTAATCTAAACAATTTGTGTAGACCCCACATCCAAGGTCTAATATGTGCATAGTTTGTGTAGATCCCATGCACTTGGGAGTCTGGGACCTTAATTTTAGGATTTGGGTTTTGGATTCAAATGAAGGATTTGCTCCTATGGTAACTATACTATTTTAGCATTAGGCCCCAGAATTTTGTATATGACTTGATGACCCACATAGAAAATTTTGCTTCCTTATAACTGGTAGATAAAATTCGTTATGTATTTCAAGTACTTTTTGAAAATTTTTAGTGTTTCGGTCTATCATATTGCACCTTAGCGTGTAGGTGTAGCGTAACTTTAATTTTTACTGATCACCTCTAGGTAACAGTATCAGCTGCTGATACATGTTTTGCATTGAGGAAGAGTGTACTAATTCAAGTTTTGGTGATGGTTGACTATAAAGAAGAATATGATGTGTGAATTAGTCCTCTACATACAACAACAACAAAACGTTTATCCTAAACGTTTGGGGTCGGCTACATGAATTATATTCTTCCATTCAATTCTATTATGGGTCATCTCCTCTGTTAAGTTAGTCATAATCATATCCTTCCCAACTGCTTCCAACCAAGTCCTTTTAGGCCTACCTCTAGATTATTAACTATAATAATCATATCTCCATTGTACATGACCAAGACATATTAATCTATTTTTTCTCATTTTGTCCTCAACAGGAACAACTTCTAATTTACTATGGATGCATTCATTTTTTTATCATATCTTTTAATGTACACCCACAAGACCATCGTAATATGGTCATTTTTATTATGCTCATTTTTTGCACATATTTTTTAATTTCCAAACACTCAAACCCACAAATCATGGTTGGTCTTATAACTATCCTATAATATTTTTTTCTTTAGTTTCATTGGTATTTTGTGATCACATAAGCCTCCTGAGACACTCCTCTTTTCAATCATTCCGATTTGATTCGATGTATAATATCATCTTCTGCCTCACTATCATGCCTAATAATTGATTGTAAATAGTAAAAATAATTACTTTTAGCTATTATTATTATTATTATTATTATTATTTTGATATGTGAATCGAACCCAAGAACTTAGGAGTCATATTGAAATCTCTCAACCATCCGGGTCACATATTGTTCCCCAGCACTTCATTATTAAAACTTATTTGCATCCAAATTTAATATCAAAACTTAATCGTACCATGATTATATGAAACATTGATTAC